TGATCAAGTAACAAAAGCTGAAATTCTATGGTCGTTAAAAGTTGCTCAAAAAGGTCTAAGTTATAACTTATGTAATGAATTAAATGAATTGTTTTCATCGATGTTTCCTGATTCTTCAATTGTCGGAAACTTTAGTATTCAAGCTGATAAAATGTCTTATGTTATATCACACGGATTGGGTCCTTATTTTAAGAAAAAATTAATCGAAGATGTTAAAAGAGCTGATAAATTTGTCCTTATATTTGATGAACAAACGAACAATCAAAATAAAAAACAATTAGATATGTTGTTAAGATATTGGTCTAATGAAAAACAATGTGTTGTTAATCGATTTTATAAATCAGTTATATTAGGTCATGCTTATGCAAAAACAATTCGTGATATAATTATTGAATCATTTGCTACTGATGGATTAAATCTAAATAAACTTTTAATGTTAGGAAGGGATAATCCCAACATTAATATTTCACTTGAAAATTTAATTGATGTGGAAATGAAAAAACAAGGTGGCTGTTTATTAACAATTGGAAGCTGTAACATCCACATTATACACAATGCTTTTAAAAATGGTATTCTGTCTTCTAAGTGGTATGTGGACAGTTTTTGTTTGGATCTTTATTCTTGGTTTAAATGTTCGCCAGCAAGACAAGAGGATTATAAAAATGTTAGTGAAGATATTGATTCTGTTATGGAAAAAGCAATTCTATATTTTTCAATAACAAGATGGGTTTTATTAGGCAAAGTTATTGATCGAATTTTAAGTAAATTATGTTGATCCTTTTTTTACTTTTCTACATTTTTCATTTTATTTAGATCAATGGGATATTTTATGTGATTATTTTCTTTGTTTTTTGCCTGAAAAACAACCTGTACAAATTCGAGAAAACAAACGTTATGAAAGCATCAAATTAGTCTTATCATCAAATTTCTCAAAGGTCAAATTTAACTTTATGTTATATTTATGTGAAAATATTTTCGATCGTTTTTTCACCTTCTTCCAACGTGAAGAACCATTGATCCACTTATTATATTGTGAACTTAATGATTTATATCAAAATGTTCTATTATCATTCTTGAAATCTGATTCGGTTCAGCAAAAATCTGGTCAAGATTTGTTAAATATTAATTTTGAACAATCTGCTTTATGGATAGCAGATAAAGAAATAAAAATTGGTAAATTCGATTGTATTAATAGTTTTTTTGATTAATCATTGTTACCTTTAATATAGGTGAACAAACAAGAAAGTTAATACGATCACTTAATTTTGACGAGAAAAAATCTTTTTATCAAGATGTTAGAAAGATTTATATTACAATTGCAAATTATCTGAAGAAAAATTTTCCTTTAAATAATATGTTATTACGTGATTTACAAATATTAGATTATTTATCTAGAACTGATCGATCAAGTGGCGATCGAATTGTTCGAGTAGCTCGAAATATTCCAAATTTACTTGATGATAGAGAAATTGATAAGTTAGCAAATGAATGGGCATTATATTCAGTTGAACTGGTCGATCGGTCTTGGTATATTAAAGATGAATATGTTGATTCAAATGGTAATAATCAAATAAAATATCATTCTATTGATTATTATTGGAACAACGTCTTTTCAATCTTAACAATGAATGGCATATCAAAGTATCCAACATTAACTAAACTAATGAAAAATGTTTTAATTATTACACATGGTAATGCTGATGTTGAGAGAGGTTTTAGTATTAACTCGAATATTCTTAGGGAAAATCGATCATCGTTATCAGAGTCATCAATAAATGGTCTAAGATTAGTTTATGATGGAGTAAAATTTTTTGGAAGCGGCTCAGCACATAAAGTAACATAAAATCATGTTTTATTTTTATATCACTATACGTTTAATCTTGCAGGTACCTATAACTACAGATATTATTAATATGGTAAAGAAATCGTCCAGTAATTATCGTGAAAGTTTAATTGCTGCTAAATTAGCAGTTGCTATTCATAAAAATAATGAAAACAGCAACAAAATAATTCAAAATGAAAAACAACAACATCTTGATGAAGAAAAGGTGTTATTGGACAAACAAAAAACTCTTGCACACCAGATGAAGGAAGCTGAATATTTGATTGATGAAGGAACAAATCGATTAGAAGGTGCATTGAAAAGTGGTGTTTTTTCAGAAGTACATGCGGCTAAACTTTTGATTGCTGGTGGTCGTGAAAAATTAACATCAATTAATGAACAACAGCAACAGCTTACAAATGAACTCGATTAACTTCGATTAAAAAGACAAAATGCTTTTTTACATGAACAATCAATCAACAAGAAGCTGAAACCCATCCAACAGAATCAACATAATATAATGGACTTGATAGATAATATTTAATGATTATTATTCAAGTGTCTTTGTCTATTTATAATCAAGTTTTATTTACATCAGTCAAATTTAATTATGAGAAATAGTATTTTTTTTCATGTATTTATTTTTTCAAAGTTTATGATCTACTTTATTGTTATATATTGATTTGTGAAAAAGTTTTATAATTAAAGTTTATAATGATCCTCGAATTAGTGACTTATTTCATTAGAAAGAAATTACATAAGAATCTTCATTATGGTTGAGTTGTTTATAACAGCTTCATTCAAACGATATTCGAGCAGAGAAGTTAAAAAACAGCAAAACAAATGAACAGAAACGATCTATAAAAAAATCCTATATTTTTGTCATTTTTTATCGAAAATCCTATATTTTAGACAAACTTGATCCTCTAAGGATTCCTATATTTTAAGAAAATCGCAATCGGAGGCCAGCTTGTGAGGGTTTAGTAAGTAATGGTCCAACTTGCTTCTTGTATGATCGAAGTCCCAGATTATCTTTTGATATCCGTCTAACTAATTTCGTAGAAATATTGAATTCATTTAC